CCCTAAATCTATCAGAATTAAAAATTAATTAATTAATTAAATTTTAAAAAATAAAATAAAGAGGCAAGTCACAACAAAGCAGGTCAATGTGAGAGATTTGAGTGTAGAGGAGTGTTTAAGAAAACAACTTCTTCCTCGTGGTGTCTTGACTCTGTTCAGATGCAGCTCCTTCCCTTCCTGGTTCTCCCATTTCCTCCTCCCTCCTTGAACAGTAAGAGCGCTGCCCAGAAGGAGCATGCCCAGTGAAGCAAGACCCTCAGCCAGCAAAGAGAATCTCAGGCAGCTTCACGACACTTCCTATGAAGGCAGGAGCCTGGCTTTAGGGCGCCCGAGTAATACTCCGTGAGAAATCTCAGTTAGCCTGAACATTGCATCCCCAGACCATTCTGGTGTATCCAAATTTTACTCTCAGAGGCTGCTCCCCTCACCAGAAATGAGGGATGATGCTTTAAATCCTGCTGGCTTCTCCTGGGCCAGCCCCTTAAGGCTGCCGAGATCTGGGGACTCAGCAAAGGATGAGCAGCTGCTCACACGACAGGGCACTTGTGTCTGCCAGACCCGGAACACACAGCATCCTGTGTGCAAAGCGTGGCTTTACAGGGAATACAAGTGCCATACAATACACTGAATATATTACTTAGAATGTACAATTTGGCAAGTTTTGACGCACTTATGCACCTGTAAAACCATTGCCACAACAAAGATAACTGGACAAACCCCTCCCTCTCGGAAGTTTTCTTTTTCCTTTGTAATTCCTCCCACCTGTTCCCTCTGCACTCCTCATCCTCAGGCAACCACTGGTCTATTTTCCATCACCATAGACTAATTTGCATTTTCTAGAATTTTATGTTAGTAGATATGCAGTATGTACTCTTTTTTATCTGGCTTTGTTCACTCGGCACACTTGTCTTGAGATGAATCCATGTTGCACTTATCAATGGTTCATTTCTTTTTATTGCTGAGTAGTATAACACTGCATGAGTATAGACAATTTGTTTCTGTTAATCTTATGTTGGATATTTGCATTATTTCTTGTTTTTGATTATTATAAATAAAGCTGTAATGAACATTCATGTACAAGTTTTGTATGGACGTATGCTTTCATTTCTCTTGGATATATACTTACGAATGGAGTGGATGGTGTATGTTTAACTTCTTAAGAAACTGTCAAGCTGTTCTCCAACAGCTTTACTTTCCCACAAGCACTGGATTTCAATTCCTCTAGACCCTTGCCAACACTTGGAATAATCAGTTTTTGTAATTTTGGACACTCTGATAAGTATGCAGTAGTATCTCATTGTAGTTTTAATTTGCATTTCCCTAATGACTAATGATATTGAGAGTCTTTCCAAGTGTTTATTTTCTACCCACACATCTTTGGTAAAGTGCCTCCCTTCCTTTCTTTTATTATATTCTTTGTTTTCTTGTTATTGACAAAACATGGGACTTTTGATCATACAACTGCGATCACATAGTTTTTTTCTCATATATTCACCCAGTACTTATCATGGGCAGAATTAGGTTTAAAAAGTTTTAAGTACACACACACACGTGCACAAGTATAATATAAATAGACACAGACATATTAATCAGCTCAAGAAAATGTTTTGCAATATAATGTGAGAGGGAAAAAATGTAATGTTAGATGAGCCTCAAAACCAATATCAGCAGGGCAGAGCTATTTGCACGGCTGTATCTGACCACAGAGGATTCCTTTTAAAGAAAGAAAAGCCTGCAGTGTTGGGGCTGGCTGTGGCCTAAGGGGAAATGTTGCTGCAGCTGATAGGACAGGAGCGGTGGGCAAAGTAAGCAGGGGGTTCCCATGGCAACAAGGTAGCCCACCAGAAGGTGCTATCAACCAAATATACCCACAAATATACCCACAGCGCTTAAGTGTATGGATTCAGAAGCCAGGCAGACTCGCCTTTGAATCTCCCTCAACTACCAGCCCAGGGCTCTTGGACAAGCTGACTAACCCCATTTTCTTCATTTGTACAATGGGGATGAAGCTGCCTCACACAATTGGTGTACAAATGAAGAAAGAAATGCGTGTGGTGTGTAGCAAAGTTCCTGGCACTCATGGTCGGCACTAACTAAACTCCAGCTGATACTACGAAGGGAACGTTTAATGTGAGGGTGAAGGGCATGAGCTCTGGGACCAGCCAGAATGAGCTAGAACACTGACTCTAATGATTCCCAGCTGTGTTCAATTCAATTCTTCAATTCAATTGTGAATTGAATTGAAGAATTCTCTTTGTGCCACAATATTTTCATCTGTAAAATGGGAATAATATGGCACAAATTTTCCAGGGTTGTTATGAACGTTGACTGAGTTCTTATCTGCAAAGTACCCGGAATGATGGTGGCAGACAGAAAGGGTTTACTATTACAGCTGCAGGGAACTCCCCAAGCTCAAGTCAGTGTACTGTGGAGATATTTCAGGTTCAGTTTCAGACCACCATATAAAGCAAATATTACAATAAAGTGAGTCACACAAATTTTTTGGTTTCCCAGTGCATATAAAAGTTATGGTTAGAGCATACTGTAATCTACTAAGCCTGCAATAGCATTATGTCTTTAAAAAAACCACAACAATGCACATACGTTAATTTAAAAATACTTTTTTGCTAAAAATGCTAACAACCATCTGAGCCTTCAGCAAGTCATAACCTTTTTGCTGGTGGCAGGTCTCGGCTGTATGTTGAGGGCCCTCCTCTGGCTTAAGGGAATGTTGTGGGTGGTTTGATCTTCTATCCAGACCACTAAAATTTTCTCCATATAAGCAGTGAGGCTGTTTCACTTTCTTATCATTCATGTGTTCACTGGAGTGGCACTTTTAATCTCCTTCGGGAACTTTTCCTTTGCATTCACAACTTGGCAAACTGGCACAAGAGGCCTAGCTTTCAGCCCATCTCAGTTCTCAGCATGCCTTCCTCACCAAGCATAAGCGTTTCTAGCATTCGATTTAAAGTGATAGACTTGGGTCTCTTCCTTTCATTTGAACACTTATAGGCATCCCAAAACAATTATAATAGTAACATCAAAGATCATTGACAGATCATTGAAACAGATATAATACTAACTAAAAAGTTTGAAATATTGCAAGAATTACCAAAACGTGACACAGAGATATGGAACGAGTAGACACTGTTGGAAAAACAGTGCTGATGGGCTCACTCAACACAGGGTTGTCACAAACCTTCAATTTGTAAAAAACACAATACCTGCGAGGCCCAATAAAGTAAAACATGATAAAACAAGGTATGCCTGTATAAGGAGTCACTCTTTACTGTGACCAGTAATTACTTCATTCCAGCAGCTTGTTATAGAGCACCTACTCCATATAAGCCCTGAAGTAGGTATTAGGAAGGATTGCAAAATAATTGGAAAGCATGAATGCTTTTCTGACCCCCAAAAGCACAAAGCCTAAAACAGAAAATAGGGTTGATGATGTCAGCTAACATGGTATGCGACTGTGGCTGAGTGCCTGGGACAAATAGATGGTAGAGAAATTCAGAGGCAGACAGTCTACATGGAAGCGTGGGGAAGTACAGAGAGTGAGGGGTGCTTCTTGGACCTTCAAGAAGAAATGAGAGAGCCAGAGAGCCAGAGCGCAGAGTGTTCTAGGCCATGGGGATTGTGTAGGCAAGACAAGGATGCAGAAACGTGACAGTCCTCCCAAGCAACATAGAGAGGCCAGTATGGCTGGAGTGAAAGGAGGACAAAGGAGAAATCTTTTTGAAAAGGTAGGTTGAGGCCAGTTTATAGAGGACCTTAAATGCTATGCTATGGTATCAATGTCCAAACTGTGAGCAGTGGAGGATCAAGCGATTTATTAGCAGTTTTTAACTTTAATGTTGGTAAAAATTACCCATCTATTTTTTGTTTAAAAAAAGCAGCAATGCAAATATATAGGCCCCACTGCACATTTAGGAAATCAGAACCCCTGAAGTTGGGGTTCAGGCATATGTTTAATGAAACAAATTCCACAGGCAATTCTGACACAGAACAAAAGTTGCAAACCACTGCCATAGAGTCTGGATTGCCATGAGTGCCTTTCTATGGCAGACCGGTCAGAAGAAAGGAAATTAGAATTGGTTGAGAGCTCACCTATGTCAGGGGACTCACGAGTATTATTTCATTTAGTGCTGACGACAGCCCGATGAGAAGAAAGTTATTACTTTCACTTTAGAGACATGGAAACTGAGCCTTAGAGATGCCGAAAATGCAGTAAGTCACAGACCAGGCTCTGAGACCACTGCCTTGCCGGCTGTATCGCGTGATCTCCCTGCGAACACCTGCCTGCATTTTCTCCTTGAAACTTCCTGCCACTCAACTTAAGTAGCAAATGTGGTATCACAAAAACTCCTCCCATCCTCTTTTCTCTTCTCCAGTGATGTCTAAATTTTACCTTCCCTTTGCCTTGAAACTGAGCCAAAACCCCTAAGGGCTATACTTTCACACTAGGGGTTTTTTTCTTTAAAATATTAAGGGAGTACAGATGTTTTTGTTACATGGATACCTTGTATAATGCTTAAGTCAGGGCTTTTAGTGTGCCCATCACCAGAATAGTGTTCATTGCACATGATAGGGAAGTTTTTACCTCTCACCCCCTCCCACCCTTCACCCTTCTTTGTTTCTAATATCCTTTAAATCCCCTTGTGTGCATGCGTATCCATCATTTATCCCCCAATTATTAGAAAGCACATGTGGTGTTTGTTTTTCCATCCTTGAGATACTTTGCTTAGGATGATGGTCTCCAGTTCCATTCAAGTTGCTACAAAAGACATTATTTCATTCCTTTTTATGGCTGAGTAGTACTCCATGGTGTATGTGTGTGTGTGTGTGTTTACGTCTATACACACCACATTTTCTTTATCCTCCCATGAATTGATGGGCACTTAGGTTGATTCCATATCTTTGCAATTGTGAATTGTGTTGCAATAAACATTTGAGTGCAGATGTCTTTTTGATAAAATGACTTCTTTTTCTTTGGATAGATACCCAGAAGTGGGATTGCTGGATCAACTGGTAAGTCTACATTTGTTTGTTTGAGGAATCTCTGTACTGTTATGCATGGAGGTTGTACTAATTTGCAGTCCCGCCAACAGTGTATAAGTGATCCTTTCTGTTTGCATCTACACCAGCTTCTGTTGTTTTTTGACTTTTTAATAATGGCCATTTTGAAAGAGGTTAAGGTGGTATCTCATTGTGGTTTTCATTTGCATTTCCCTGATTATTAGTAATGTTGGCTATGTTTATTTTTTAAACAAGCTAAATTTATTTTCTCATAACTTTCTATTTCTTCTACCCTTTTTTCTATGATGTCTTCCAATATACCCTACAGTTTTGAAACTCCTTGTTCAAAGCAGAACACAAAATGAAATCTGAAATATTAAATAATTACATTTGTGATTTTTTTTTACCCTATGGCTGATGAGAAGTGTTTATATCAGGCTTTGCACAAAGTCCAAATGGACTTTGGACTGATGGAAATGATATTGGATGCTTTGTTCAGCTAACTGCCAACAAGCACTGAAAAACTGTTATTCTAATCTAAGCAAGTTCCTCATTTTGCTTTTGAAAGCCATTCTCTGTGGGTAGAATCTTAGCCACTGTGTGTGTATGTGTCTGTAGGCGTCTACAAGAAAAACATCTCTTCATAAATCAATACTAAATCTCCACCTATGTGTAAGCTTCTTACTTCACATGCCTACTTCTATTTTTTTTCAGTTTGGATGCTTAATTTTTCTATCTTTTTATCAGTTGCATGATGCAAGAAAACATTCTCCTCCTTTATATATACTTTCTTAAATCCTCCACAATATATTATTTTACAATTTGTTTTTCCCTCACTCTAGATTGGAATCCTGAGTAAATGTCATTTACCCTTTCTTTCCGGCTTCAAATGTTCTTCAAATGCAGTTGACGGTTTGTACACACCTTTATCCATATCACTGGGGTAATGTCTGTCACTTTGGGGCTCAGACTCATGTGGATTAGCCTATTTCTTTGCCTAAAGGAGCCTAAGCTTGATTTCTAAGCCAAAAAGGTTGAGACATAACATCTATACCTATCCTCTAAATATATACTTTGGCAGGTGAGACCTTCATTCCATCAAGAAGAACTGATTGCCCATGTTTGGAAACCTTAATAATGCTTGGAATACTTGTCAGGCCACTGTGAGCAAATGTGCAAATTATGTAATGCAATCCCCGGGGGACAACAGTCACCTAGCCTACAAGGCAAATAGTGCTGTCTGGACTTAAGCAGTGCACATCCTGCTCAACCACACATAACAACCCTTCAGTAGGAAACTTATTTTCCCCTAATGTAAATAGTTTTCTGTATCCTTAATGGATACAGAAAAAAAGTCAAATTATTTAGATGATTTGAGTGATGAAAGATGGTTTTATCTTCAGTAAACAAATCGGAGTTTTAGAAAAGGAGAGTCATTAGTGGTAGGCAAAACAGAGTCGTCACACCAAAAAGGCACTAAACACAGTCCTATTTATTTCAAAACATAAGGTTAACACGATATTAATAAATATTTTTAACACTGAATGTAGAAAAACTATTGTGCATATTCTATGAAGACAACCCACTAAAGAATCAGAGAAAAAGATAGTCCTTTACCTCCAGGCCATTGATAGAACAATCTGGGAATAGGACAGCCTCGGGAATGTTGCAGGGGGATTGAGGGCAGGCAAGAGAGGAGGTGATAAAAACCAGGAAAATTTTTCTATTCTCCTTTCCTTACTGGGGCCTTAAAATTAAAAATCTGGCATTGCATTGGAAAAGTACACTTTCACACACATATGTGTTTCTATGTGCACTTTCTTTTTCAATTTTGGAGAAGAATCACTAGTTAGTGGTCAGGGTCAAAACTGTAAACAAGTTCCCAATTTCAATCTAGGCCCCCTAGGACCCAAGCAGAAGCTGCTGCTGCTGATGCCTCAAGCTCAGGCACAGCCACCAAATCCTCAGTGGAGAACAGAGGGTGCCGCACCATGTTGATGGCCACCAGCAGCAGCTCTGCGCAGATCCGAGTCCTTTGAGCACCATCTTTGTGAGCCGGCCTATGAGCAGCCCCCCTCCCCCGCCCTGCCCTCTGTAGCTGCCCAGGCCCCCCAGTCGTGGGGGGAACGTGTCGAGACATTTTTTCTGTAAATCTCAAATAAAACAGAACCTCACAGATGCGGGGGCCCCTTGCTGATTATAATAAACAGTAGAGACAGGCTCCAGGAAGGAACAAAGGGAGACCCCTCTCAGATCAGCCTCAAGTTCAAGTCCAATACTCCTCCCCGGGTCTTTTTCCCACAAGGCATAACTTCCCAGTAGTAAAAAGCAATAGAAGGCATCACCCTAAAAGCCACCACTGCTCCCAGGACGTTTCTGGGTCAGGCGAGGAGGAAGAGAGCACGCCTTCATTTTGTTACATGAGCTCATAGCTGAGAGTAAGTGGAAGGCGGCTAAAGAGAACAAAAGAAGTTTATACCAAGTACTTTTAGGACAGACCGGCAACAGTTTCAAAGGGAAGAGTTGTCCCAGGTTCTGGCACATTTGAAGACAGCTGAAGGCCAAGACCTAACCAAGGAAGGACGCCTGCAGGACAGCTAGATACACTTGTACTTCCTTGGGTATTAGAATCACAGGGTATTTTTCTGAAAGCTAAGGAGGACCTCAGGGATCTCCTAGTGCAATCCCTTCACTTTCCAGAAGAGGCCCTGAGGGCTGGAGAAGGTAAGCAGCCTACAGAGGCCACACAGCTTGTTCTGTCCATTTGGGGGGCACAGAGAGGGCCAGAGAGGCTGCAGTGAGCAATGCAGTGCAGGGGAACCTTGTGCCAAGTGGTCAATCACATTTGTAATCCTGCGCAGATGAAAACTTCCCATCCTGGGCCCTTTCTGTTGACGTGTCACAGCAGTGGGCTGGTCCTGGACCGAGCTCATCCATGGACTTCCCTCAGGAGGGGCTGCAAGTGCAGGCTGCCCTCACTTCCCAGTCCGGGAGGCCACCTGGATGGCTCTGATCCAGTCTATGCGCTCCTTGGGGGTGGCTGCTTGCAAGAAATAATGCACTTCATCTGCCGTGATGATCTCAAAAAGGTTCTCTTCCTCACTCTTCTTGCCTGGGGAAGAAGAAAGGGAATGGCAGTGCACACAGACAGCAGATAGGCCACTTGCTCCACCCTCCTCGGCAGGTCATTCAATCTTTTTTCTCCCAGTGTTCTAAGGAAATTAAATATGTGGTTTTCAAACATACTGTTTTATGATTATAGAATAATTCATTGCATAATTATATATACAGCATAGTGTAATAATAGTGTATGTGTGTATTTTTAAGAAATAAGTAAAACACCCAAGGAGAAACATTTTCTTTCTTAGTTTATAATCAAACTAACTTTCTCATCTTTACATGCCAATAGTGTTTAGTGAGCAACCTCTAATAGTGTCCAATGGGTACCTTTCCTGTGTTCATAATATAAACCAGGGGCTGACCTTGAAATCTATCTGTCTATATCTATATCTATATAGAAACCAAACAAAACCAGACCTACCACCAAGACCACAAGTATAGCTTGAACTAGTTTTTATCAAGAGCTAACTTAGATCTTCTGCTGACAGATCAAAAGGCAATAAACTGGCCAATACTGTGACAAGACTTAAAACTTGACAGGTCAAATTAAAAACATCAAGCTTCCTCCCCTAAAACTAAAGCATAATTCTCAGGGGTGCGGTATGGGGGTGGGCAGATTTAAGCTTGGTAAAAAATCTAGATTTTGCAGCTGTGGTGTTTTCCTGCCCATCTCTGTCACACCATAAACGCAAGATGGCAAGTGTTTGTATATCAAAAGCACATCTCCCCAGTGACACCATTTCTCCCCAGCTGCTGAGAATTCAGTCTACACCCACACGTTTATTCCACGCACCAAATCATAGACTTGTGACCTGAGGTCATCTAGTTCAAGCGCCTCACTTTTAGAGCAAGAACTAAGATCCAGAGTAGTGAGGTGACTCACTGAAGGGTGTGAGGCTTGCTGGCCAGCACGGCTTGACTGGAGCCTGGGTGCTCCTTCCTCTCCCCATGCTGCCTCACAGCACAGAGCTCCTTTTGTTGCAGAAGAGTTCCTGGTCTGGACATGTGAAAGACTTCCTTTAAGAATGACATGCTGCACTACAGGTGTCAGGAGCTGACAACTGTTCCATCGAAGCCAGTTCTGAAGTGATGGGTTTTCTGAGCTCCGCTCATGGACTTACTCGAGGCATCCACAAAGCCACTCCAACACCCCAAGGCCTGGACAGCCCAGGCAGCAGTTGGGAGAGAATAAATAGCTCTTGATCTCTTTTGGTTTCCAGACAGTAAATTCATTCGTGCTTATGCTGACTGACGGATGGATGGCTTGCTATTGGCTCAGGATGTTCAGGGGCAGGAGGAGACCCTGAGCAGACACACCTCTCTCACACAGAAACTCATCTTACCATCGGGGTTGCTCTCCACTGACGTCACCACGCAGCCTCTCAGGCGAATTGCTCCCAGGGGATCTTCCCCCTAAAGGAGAGAAGAGTTGTTCGTTATGTTTGCAACATAGACTGTACAGATATACCTTTTCCTGTTGGTGCAAAAGCCACACAGACTCCCTCTGGTATAGGTCAGGGACCCTAAGGTAAATGAGAGCAGGAGATTGAAGAAAACTCCTTCTAGATCCTCCACACTCCACTTCGGTAGGGTCAGGAGGCTGCATGAGAAGGCGCGAGTCAATCTGGGCTTCCATCTGGAGGAAAGTGGCAGGGGAAGTGGAGAGGCTCGCGTCTCCCAATAAGGAAGAGCTGTGTGTTTCCAGTGGTCTTAAGCCCCATGCATGTGACACAGCAGTATAAACGTCACAGGAGGGAGTCTAAGGGCCTTGTGCTGCAAGCAGAGGCTGAGGTCCCAACCCAGACAGAGCTGTCTTTACACATTACAGGTGGCTCATTTTATTGAGGAGAAAGCCCTCTTAAATAATCAACAGCCCTGGGCCTGAACAATGCTTTCATCCAACTTGGCCTGGATGAGGAATTATCACATTTTTGCATAAGCAGAATAATGGACTGATTGAGCTCTTCTGAAAATAACAGATTGGTGCAAATAAACAAAAAAATTATGTTGAGTTGACGAAATAAATTATATAGTGATATTTTCTTCCATCCCTGACCTTATACCGGCTGCAATCACCCAAGATCTCACATCTTTGCAGTGAAAGGGGGTAGGAAAAGATAGAGGAGGATGGGAGAGAAAAAGTGGGGTGATGAAGAGGAAAAGGGGATATCAACAGCGTAGAAGGGGGAATGGGAAGCCCAGCTCAGAAATGCAGTGAAGGCTCCTATTTGAATGGCTTTATCAACCACACAATCTCACCCCAGCAGGGTCATAGTAGTGCAGGTAGGCAGGGTCTTCTCTCAGAATGAACTTCCTCACTTTCCAGTTTTTCCTCCTATGCCCCTATATCCAGGATCAACAACAACAAAAAAAAGGGAATGATGAGTTCCTAGCATCACTCTGTGTACACAGTACCTACATAGTAAGTCTCTAATGAAGTGAACAGAGAAAGAAAAGATGAGATACTAACTCTGACCCATGTCTGTCAAGGAGATAGCACTCACATCAATTAATAATTTAGATATTATTATATGAAACAAATGGATTAAACTATTTCTAATGATTGTCTTCCAGTTTTAATCTGATGCAAGACAGTCCTCTGTACAATGTACTATGTTAGGAAACAGGGAACATAAAAGGGTTTAAGACATGGCCCTGCTCTTCAAGGAAGTTATGATCTATGTGAAAATATAAAATAGCAAATGCCCAAGTTAAATAAGTGGTATAGATGATGGATTTCAAAGACATTAAGTGAGAGAGATGTAATTGTGGGCTTTACATGTCAAAGACAACCTCATAAAACCTGCACTTACCCATATGGGACACACAGGATTTAGATGGGTTAGACAAAGGTGCTTGGGAAGACTGCTGACAACAAAAACGCGTAGGTGAGAACGCACGAGGCGCATTCTGACATTGATGAATAAGAGCAAAGTCTGGCCAGAATGGAGCAACACGAGGAGTAGCAGAGGCAAGGCTGGAACGGCGGAGAGGGACTTAGTGAAAATAAAAGGTGGGGGCTGTTGCTGATGGCTTTTGAGTAGGATTACATTATAAGATGGTAATATGGTGACAAGACATAGGATGGACCGGCTGGTGAGATGAAAGGAAAGCCAGGAGAAAGATGACAAAGTGAAAAGGAGGCCATTAGGGAACAATGGCAACAATCCAGGCATAAAATTATTAGGAGTAAACTTTAGGGAGCAGCAGTGGAAATGGAAACGAGTGTGGCTGTGACAGACATGATGAAAAAAGAAGAATAGGACTTGACCTTTCCCCATAGGATTAGACCTGGCATTGTCTAGGCTGTGAGTTGTAAGGGCAAGATTTATGTCTTGCTTGTCTTCGCTCCCCAGTGCCCAGCACAGAGCCTGGCACAGGAAAGCTGCTTCCTGTCTGTTTGTATTAATAATTGCCATGAATTGCCAAGTTAGTTCAATTAGCTTGTAGCAGTTTTAAAATATCATGGTGAACCTGATTTTATGATTTCCCACAAAAAGTTCAAATGACTTCAAGTCCAGAAGCCAAAAAATATTATGAGATTAGAAGATACATAGTTTCTATTTTGCCAGCATGAAGAATACTATTTGCCATTTTTTAAAACACCCCACATTGACAGGCACACATATAAATTTTCCAACATTTTTTATTGCACTTGGTGTTGAAAGCAATGAAATGTGTGGTTTGAGCAAACAGTGCCTCCTTCATAAAGCCAGACTGGAGGAGTTTAAAGGAAGCTTTCAGGAATGGGCCTAAGCTCTTTGGCTAAATATTTGGTGAAGAAGCTCATTGCCAAAGAACCTTTTACTTGCCTGAAGTATGGAGCCAGGAACCCCATAGAGTCATATGTCAGGAAAGGAAATATTTCTATCTGCTACGTCGTGTCATGACATTCATTTCATGAGCATTTCCTGAGGAGTTTTAAGGAATGCATGTGTGCCTGGGGTTTCCAAAAATTGTTGCTGAACCTTCAAAGTCATCTACTTAGATTTGACTTAATTCACTCTACAAGTGTCTATTGCCTATTACAAAGAAGGATGCTAAACTTTGAAGCAGATGCAAGAGAAACATACATAACACATTGTCCCTCTCCCTGAAAGAATCTATATGGAGATATTAAACAAATACATACTTTATGCATTGCCATAGCAGAAAGAATTATATAAAAGGGATTATATTGAATATAATCCAAGATCATTCATCCTCAAACTTGCTACATTTGCCAAGTAGAATTGTTTCCTCTGGGATGAGAGAAGTGGAAAAAGAGGAGGAGTGGATGGCCTCCCGCTGGACACAGCTCCTTCCCATCTGCGCGGTGTGGAGCACAGGTGTCCTTTTTCATGGTCATAAGCCTTCTGTGGAGGTTAACCACTCCCAGGTTGGTTTACTTTTTGTGGAACTTAAGTTTTACAATTTTTCAAAATTCCCTCTAGTGATTCTGATATGAACCAGGGTTACTAACCACTGAGCTAAGAGATTACAAACATTAAAGGGAATGTCAATTCAAATAGGAAAGGTTTTTGGTCATCACCCCCTGCTAAAAAAAATTAGAGAAAAGAATATCATAAAAGAACAAAATTGCTGAATGCACATAGATTTCTGAATTCTTCATGTAAAAAGGAAGCTTCTAAGGATGACTATTTAAATTGTTGTATTTCGATCATAGGATAAATTAGCTTTTAAGAAAACAGCTAGCTCAGGTTCTAGGTGATTCACACATCAGAATCACTTGGGAGCTGTAAAAATCCAGACCCTGATTTAATTTTCTTGGGATGTAATTTTAACAGTTCCCTGGGAGATTCAAATGTGCACCATTGGGCTAGCAAAGGCTAAATTGAACCTTCAAAGGCCATGTAAAGGAAGGCAAAGGAAAACAAATGCATAAGTTTACTTCCTGCCCCCGTTATCTTCAAAACACATGCAGACAACCATTACTCACAGCTACTTTTTGACCATCCAGCGTCTCCAGCAACTGGGGTGCTTTGCACGACATGGCTCCAGTCCAGTCTACACTTTACCCCTTATTAAAACTTATCCTCACCTTTCAAAAAGCCCATTCCAAATTAGGGCTTGTCCAATCAACTAATTCAAGATAGCTCATAACAATATAGAATTATGGAAGGAATCAACTAAATAAGGAGATAATGAAATTGCCTCCCAAGTTACTCTTGTCTTAACATCCACATTCTAGCACCTGTAATCAAAGAACAAGGACATAGGACTGTTTGGCAGAACCAATGGGGAAGCCGGCGGTGGGCAAACTCTGCCCATGGGCAACTAACTGCCAGAGCCTTCCGTATATAAGGCTGGCCCTGCCCCAGGACTTTCCTTTAATCTAGTTAGCTGGTCACCCCGTCATAAAAAGATATTAGGATAGTCCATCAATTTTTTTTTCTAAATCCTTGCTGTAAATTTCTTAGGATACTATTTTCTTAAAACCTGATGTGAAGGTAAGTTTTCCACTCTGATGAGTCCCATGCCAGTGAAACTCAAAATCAGCGGCTATACCTGCTCTCAACTAGCCCGAAGTCCCTCTTTGTCAATGTAAATATATGCTCTGGTCTGATTTTTGCCTCCTTGCCTATCCCATTAATCACTAAGATGGAACTTATAGGGTCCTAATACGATGTAAGTCAAATCTCTCAGTCCCATGGGACCTATAGACAGTGAATTCATGAAAATCTCCTTACAGCAAATGAGGGGTTCTTTCCACTATATACCCAGCAGTGCTTTTGAGGCAGCTCACAGCAGAGCCAGGAAGGCAAGACCTTGGCCCTGTAAAGCAGCCTTGGCCTGTCTGCCATCATGTGCTAGTATCAATTTGTTTCACCCTGAATATTCCCATGTCTTCCTGCCACTTCTTCCTCTACCAGCTGCTGGCCCTGGCTTCCTTGCTTGGCACAGCCATGTGTTCTCTTATCTCTTGGCATCATTGCATGCCTTGGCACCTGGTAACTGACTCCTGCCTTCCAGACTGATGGTGGCCTGTACCTGTGGACACCTGCACTTCCCCCCAGGACTGTGTCCACACCCCCAGTCTGGATTTGACACTTGCCTGCCGTTCCTGTGGAGCTGGCCTCAGGCATGCCCTGGTTATGGTCTCACCATGCCCTACTTACAGTCCAGAATGGCATTGCTCTCAGTGGTATATAATGTTCCCTTTCTGGGTATGACCTGGTCCCATTTTCTTTGTTACTTTGAAGGGAAGAGGGACAGGGGAAAAGTAAGTACTTTTACTATGCAACATCTCTGTCTTTTAGATGGCATCTATTAGACAATTTATCTCCTCTGGCCAATGAAAAGGGCAATATTTTTCTAGAAACATCTTTTTTG